TATTTATAAAATCTGACTGTAAATAATTTTGCTTGCTGACTCATTTTGCTGATTTTACCTTTTTGTAATTTTTATACCTTTTATTTTTCCAGTGGCTACTCTCATTTCATGTAGCAGTGTTGGATGTTCTTCAAATGCTCTTATAAGAAGAGACATTCCTTCATGATCATTAACAGTATTTCTAATCTTTCTTATAGTATCAGCATCAAGCAGTGGTAGAGACTCCTCCAGTTGTCCTTTGATCAATAACTCATGAAACTCTATCAATTCAGATACTGCTGGTCTATCATCTGGTATATCCATTAATGCAATAGGAGAGAGTGAAGGACCTCCTATCAATAGCTTGTTTGTACCTGTAGGAGGAGCTGGTCTTATTTTTGATGAAAAAACTAAAATAATTTACAATGTAATAATATATATTCACTGAGAATATTGTATAAAAAATATTATTATAATAATTTAATTTCTTATAGTACAATTGCTATTACTGTAGGGTACCTTTTTTCGAGGGTTGTAAATTTCGTGTGGATTTCATGATTTCTTGAAGATTCGTGAAAATTACTTTCGCAAAAATCAAATTATTATGGTACAAGATGGCAGACGGCATAAATTAATCCACAAAATTGATTTTTAGGTAAATTTGCAAAATTTATAGCCCTCGAAAAAAAGGCGCCCTATATGGTATAATAAAAACCATTGTGTGTTGTTAACCACTATTATTAATAAATTATGAATTTTTATAAATGTTACTCATTCATTTATGTAATAGTATGCCATGGTGCGTGGGTGGTCGCCATAAAAATCTTTGATGTCTAGTGGGAGTTATACCATATATCTGTTTATTTTGCAGTGAAATATTTTTGCAAATCCATTGCAAAATTTTTCCACTGCAAAATTCTGCATTTCCATTGCCATGTGGTACAGTCTGCAAGCAATTTGCAAAAATTAATTCTACAAAATCTTAGAAATGCAAGATTTGCAAAAATAAACCGGTATATGGTATGCCCATAACCATCTTCCAGACAGAGTGGAAATAAATTAATTCCCCTGGAATTTCCCAGTTTACATAAGAACACACATTACTTTTTATAGGTAGCATGTACTATGTGTACATAACTCCCTCAAAATAAGTGGTCTCATGCTACACCCTTGACCAGTTAGGTATATCATGGTACCTATAACTACCTATAATAATATTAATAATTCACACACATAATGCTACAAGAATTAGGAGTAAGTTTTCATTTATGATGAATATTATATATTTTTATATTTTTTTCATTTCATTTATTTTTCATGCATAGGTCTCCTCATTCTTTTATTTAAAATTTTTGAAACAAACAGTGCCTTTGGCTTTGATTAATTGAAAATGTACATTTTTTCTGAGGCAAGAACATATTACTGGACAAAATTTAGACAAAGGGTCTGATTAGTTGAGGCTACATGTTTATGTTTTTATCATTCTTAAATGAACGCAAAATTGAAATTTGACCAATTTTTCATTAACTTCAAAGCCTTTTTGTGTCAAAAGGTCAAATTGCCTACACACTTTTGACCGTTTCGTCAAATGTAACCAGGCTTAACCCATTAATAAATTACTGAAGTTACACATAATTTAACAAATTTCACATGATACTCTTCAATCAATGAAAAATTAATAATTAATTTTTGTACATCTTGAGTCCAGTAATGTACTAACACTCACCAGTAGCAGTACTGTGTACATCATTGGTTCCTTTGATATCATTACCACTGATAATAGCATTACGTTCTATAGAATACACACAAACACAGTCAATACTAATACAATCAGTGATATTAACTTACTCTCTTGATCTAACTTGTCAGCTGCAGCATTCTCATTCATAGATTTAAGAGCATCTGACAGTGAGTCAAAGGTAGCTCCTCCTTTACTGTCAACATTATCAGCTCTGGACAACCACTGGGAGAGACACTCTGTCAAGCATTGATATACATCACCAGGATGATTCCTTTCAATAGCGTCCAGTGTGTTCTTGTGTAGTCCTAGTGTCAGTCCTAGTTCCTTCCATCTCCTCTGAGGGAAACCACATCTCTCCAACAGATTAAGTACATCAATAAGTTGCTCTAAAATCATATTCAATGATACATAGATAGTTAATGAACATTACCAATAGTCAAAGGAGAAGAGAAGAGACTCAGGGAAGAGGAACAAGAACTGGTTTGAGTTGCCATCGACCTAACCGGATGCAAACTTAGGCTTAGCAAACAAATGCAAATAACAAGGATGGGAGGGGCTAGTTTAAGTTTTCTTCCTGTAGCTACCTCAGTTACAAACTATCTTGCAAATAAACCTAGATCAAGTCCTCTGCTTGACTCTTAAGGTAACAAAAATTAATTGAATTCTTTGGACACGGATTGTGACACAGGTTCACTATTCATCACTACGGGATCCTCCAATCCCTTTTCCTGCTGCATTGTAAACCATACACTACCAATTATTTGCTGTAGATCTATACATAAACAAAACTGTTCACATGAGTCTATTTATTAAAAGGGTTGCAGCATCCCTTACACCTGCACTTAACACAATTAAGGTAACTCGTTATAGAAACAAGGACATTTCTTCTTCATACAAATAAGATGTCCATACATAACACCTGGATTAGTACCACACCTACAGTTATACTTCATTTCTCTCTTAACCGACTCAGTCTTCTTCTCTTCCCTTTCAACAACCAACCCTTCATCTTCAATAGGCCCTGCTACTAATGGAGTTCTCTTTCCTTTCTTCTTCACTGGTGTATTGGTTGGTGTCATCT